CGTTTACCATCGGCCCCGGAACCCGAAACTCTGAACCTTAAACCTGCTCCAAGCCTTCACCCCAGAAACAAGGCCTTCAGCTTCTCCTCAAAGATGTATGTCCAGAGCTTCTCCATGTCATCCTGAGAACTGATATTCAAAGCAGGGTTCCAGTCTAAGATTCAGGGTTTTTAGGGTCTGGGGGCTTGCGATGCAAGTTTTTTCGTTTCGGGGCTAATAAAGTGCTTGACCCATATACACCTTCTCTGAAGCCTGTGCGCTGCAATAACGCATCTCAGGGCAGGAATGGCAGAAATATCTTCAATATGAAATTGGGGTTGGTCAAAAAACGAACCTCTCGGGACTCTGCCAAAATGTGGCATTCAAAATCCTTGTCTGTGAGGAAAGATTTCTTGCCATGACTCATGTTGGGCCAGTCAACCATCTCATTCTGTGGCTTATGCTTATCTATGCATGACCATGACGTTCCTTCGTCTTTCTGGTGCAGCGCGAAACCCGAAGCTCCCAAAGATAAGATCCCTACTAGCAGAAACAGTAGATCTCTACACCACTTGGGTTTTATGACAGGCTTGCAGGGATTTGTCCGATGCTGTGGTTTAGGATTGACAGAGAGTAGGATTTTGAATCACAATGCATGAGCGGAAGTGACAAGCGACAATTGCTCGCAGCCTATGCCAGCCCGATTGTAGAACTCTATTCGAGTTGCAAAATCGTGCTGGGCAACTGCAAGCGTGGTAAGCATATGATACAGAATCCTGGATAATAAAGATGCTGAGACACAAAGTTCTCGATCTCGCCGTTCTCCATGGGGTAGCTCAGCGACATCTGGCGCGAGGGTGCAACCATGCTGACTCTGCGTCTGGTCGTACGACTGCCATATTAAAGCCATTGATTGATTCCTTTCATCGCGTGAGACGCGGGAATTGCGCAATCTTTTTTGCTTCTTTCCTGCAGCTTAGAGCCGTCCGCTGGCTGACTATAATGCCCTAGAAGCCCAGTTGCCTATGCTGCTCCTTAGCTCCAGTTGGAGGTAACATTGACCCTTAGACCCTGCACCGGGGCTTCACGGGATGGGCATTGCTCTTCCCAAGCGACCGAAGCCAAACCACAAAAAAACAAGGGCAGGGATTGAAGCAGTTTAAGGCTCACGCTTGTCACAATCATTTTCAATGCAATCAGAAAAGCCGGTTTTTTTTTGAGAAGGCACCTTGCCCCAAATGTTCAGAAATCTGACCTACCCAGAAGTTATGAATTTGCTCAAGGTATGGCGCGCCGTGTGTTTTTGGCCCGCAAAAGATGCAACCTCATGTCCATAAATACTGCTTTTGAAGTAGATGAACATATAATCACACTCACGGAGATGCTGAAGGATCCGTCTGCTAACTTGGCAAGATGACGCCTGTAGACGCCACACACAAGTTGCGTGGGCAGGAAATCATCAACTTCTGAGGCTCTACATCTACGTTAAAAAAACAGCCCTCAGCGCCCGTGCAACTCTGTCCATTGAAGGCCCGGAACGCCCATTCTGGGGCAACTTCTCGGCCGAGCTGTGCTTCAGAAACAGCTTGCGGGCAAACGAGCTGCCAAAGCTGTTTCTAATCCAAGGCTGCAAGAAGTGCCTGCAGCTATTGCTGCTCTGCTCGTTGCATGTGTGTGTGTAGGGTATAAACACCACATTGTTAACCCGTCTTTCGCAAACCCTGTACTAGAACTGGTAATGCCCACAAATCCCTTGCCAATTCCGCTTTGTCACCAGATGAGATCCGCCCTTCGGGCCCAAGTACCCAATAAAGAGCGCTGAGAAGCCATCGAAACTTTGGTGTTTGGTACACACACACACACACACGGCACTTGGAATCTTAGGAACAGCTGTTACTAGCCTGGCTTGTACAGCCAGGCTTCAAGGCAACACCTGCGGCTGGTTTCAAGGCAGCAGTGTGCGACAGCAGGCTCACTTTCTTCCTTGTCTTGGCTTCGGGAACAACAGGCCAGTGCTTCTCCAAACGGGCCTCTGTTAAAGGCATTCGGCTCAGGAGGACTTTCGGAATGCATCTCCGAACCAATTGGCCGAGCGAAACAACTTCTGCAGACCGTGCTGCAGGGTGCACGCATGCTGGATCCAATGCCTTCCACATCCGGAGAATGGCTTCCAGTGCCTCAGAAATCGCTTGCGTAAGCTTCATGATGCCCAGCTTTCGGATTTCATAGGTGTCGTGGGTTTCAGGCTTAACTGTTATGTAGAAAGTCCCTCACAGGATTGCCCATGCCATCTCGTTGGATGGTACCTCCCACACCCAAACTAATTTTGACTAGCTCTCCTTGTCCCAAGTATCTCGAAGGGATGAAACTCAGCGCCAAAACCTACTGTCTACCCTAAAGCCCGTCATTTCTATGTTTACTCCTAAGAATCTTCGACACTTTAGTATGTGTACCCACTCCGTCTCAGTTACTCCTTGCAAAGGTCCATCATCAGCTTTGTCTTAGTAAGATCCCTACAAGGAGCTACTGCGGATTGCCAGAGAAGCGTTTCTGGCAAGGACCTTCAATGGAGCTCCCAAGTAAGCATACCGACTAACATGCCCTGATCACAATCCCTGCTCAATTCACATAAAGCTGGGTCGCTCATCAGATCACGAGTTGTGAGCCCAACATGAAGAGTCATATCAAATCAAACAAGAATTGCAAGTAACAATCCGTGCAAAGTTCCCATGACGATTAGCAACCAAACACCGCTTGATTAGGATTTATGTTGCTTGGCTGTTGGAAGCCCTTAAAAACCTCATGACATCCATAATCGAGCTAAACGTTAAACACAAACTGTTAAACAAGACAACCATTGTGCAGTCTGGCATAGTAGAAGTCTTGTATTGTGCCCAAAAGCGCTGTTAAAAAACAAACATTGTGCAGTCTGGCATAGTATTGTCCCAAAAGCGGTGCGGGAGGAGTTTTACCAGGCTCCCTTGTCAGTGGAAAGTTTCGTGGCTAAATTTAAGGAATTTAAGTAAGGTCTTGATTTGCTGCTAGAGATTCCCAATGGAAGCGGGGACCGCTGGCAAACTTTTGAATAAAAAGACAAGGCCTGCGTGTCTCCATCGAACTCATAGTCTCGGAATTGAAAGAAGCTTGTGTATACGCGGAGTGACGGGTTTATTGAAGTCTCTTGCGGGCTTATCAGTTTTAATTATTCAAATTTTCTAGAAGTCGAGACCACCTGATTTCCAGGAATTTCAGATTTGCAGATTCTTTGCAAAATTCTATTCTTCCAGAATCCAGGGTTCCAAGACCTCCAGGGTTTCCGAGTTCCAGAGTTCCAGAATTCCAGCATTCCAGCTAGAAAGCTTCTGTCAAGTTTTGATATTCTAGGATTTCTAGAACTCCAGGCTTCTGAAAATCTAGAAAACATATGGTGAGAAATGCTGAAATCTGGAATTCTGGGATTTCGGAGTTCTTGAATTCGTGGATTCTGGAATTACAGGCGTCTCGACATGTAGAAGGCATCCATAATGCTGCAAAAAAATGTACATTTCACTGCGCTGGCCATGCTTTTAGATCAAAATTTAGATTGTGGAGCGCGTGGGATAGTATATAGATACACTGAAGGGAATCTTAAAACTGAAAGATCTACTTCACAGAGCCCCAAGCCCAGATATCAGTCTATTCCGGCGATGTTCAACAAAAGGGTGCCTTTGTTGACCTGCAAGACCTGTAGGTATCATGTTCGGATTGCAGGAGTCATCGTCGACACCCTTGATAAACTTCTATATAGGTCCGCTGGCCTACCCCACCTCCCAACTCCCACTGAAGGAGCTGCTGACGGGTGGCGTCTTTAAGTGGGGTGTCCTAAGGACCCTGGGCACGTGGGGATTATATGCACAGTGTAGGGATCGCCCTTTCAAAGTGGGTACAGCGTAGGGAATACTCCCATGAAACAGCTCAGGCACTACATCCAGAGCCGGCGCTAGTTGCTTCTTCAAGACTTCCTCTTCCTTGGATGCTTAAGGCAAAGGGGTCAGGCCTCAGGGTTGGAGTTCAGGGTTTAGGGTTCAAGGTAACGCATACTTTTGAACTTGGGAATTTGCCTGAATATAAGCTCCAAATAGAAAGATGTTGGTGAGCAGTGCAATAACGCAGGGAATTTGCAAACAGCTTGCGCTCGTCCCGAAGCATGAGTACGGGACTTAGCCTATTCCCCAAAAGGTACCAGCGTGACATAGCGTATGATACTGGTGCTTGGCGGCCCGGATTTGGGAAGGACACCAAAACAAAATGGAAGCCTGATGACATTCCTGTATAGCCCTTCTAACATGCTAAGAGACCCTACCTCAGACACACCTTCGCGTTCCACTTCAGGCATGAGATAGACCTTGAACATGGAACGTACAGCTTGACCAGCCTTGACCTCTAGACCCAGCGCTTGAACACGAAGCCCCCCACCTGTGTCTAGAGTCTACACCTGGCATCCAGAACCCTAGATCTGGAATTTGAGCCTAGACCCTAGACGAAAAATTAAAACATTGAACCCAGCAACCTGACTGGCTTTGACCCCAAAACTGAAACCATTAACCTTGATTCCCCAGCTCCAAACTTCGAACAAAACCCCTCAACTACAACAACGTGAACCCTAAATCTTGAATCCTGAGCCCTCAACACCAATCCTGGGCCCCTAGGTCTGAAAGTAATCTTACATTGGGTATCCTGGCCGCAAGGGGAAGGGTAAGCTATTCAAAGTCCAGGTTCCGAGCCAAGTGTTTCCGCCCAAGCCCGCCATGGATCTGAGGCTTCGGTACTGGGTGCTGTTGCAAACCTGGGTTGTTGGAATTTACAGGCTCACCTTAAGTAGGTGAGGTCCGCTTCAAGGCACGTGCAGAGGGATGTGGGTGATTTTTGCAGTTCGAGCTGATGGCAGTTCGAGGCAATTGTGGAAGCGTGGGGTCTTGACTCATTGCAGGAGTGATATGTTGAGCTTGCAGGGGGTTAGTTCGCGGGGTGGCGGTCTTTCCTTAAAGCCCAAATGTGCCGAGGAACCATGCCGATAAGGTCATCTTCAAGAAAGGCACAACGCCAGGTTGCAGGGCATTGCGGACATCCTCCGGCTCCTGGACAGTCAAACTGCTGCTCTGTTCATATGTGGCATTTTCTCGAACTACGGTTCTTAATGTGGGAATTATGGATGGGAACCGGCAGGTTAATGGGTACTCAAATGTAGGAGAACATATCAGATTAAGGACGTCCCCGGTGCGGAACTACTCCGAAGAAATTCTTCGAACTACAATGAGCGCGAGGCCTTACTAACTATCTATTTAGCTGAAACGCTGGGCAGCTACGTGCAGCTCCTGCATGAGGAGCTTGTCTACGTCAAAGAATCGCAAGAAGACGGCACGCGCCATAGGCATGAGTTGCTGCTTGCGCAGCCACTCGCCCAGGCCTTCGTCCTCCAAATCAGTGGGAATGTGCCCCAGGAAAGCATGCACGCGAGTTGCATAGATGGCCGCTACCACAACTGCATGGCTTCGGGCATCTTGTAGCGCTAGCCGCGAGCCCTGCTTACGGCTGATGAGGCCGTTGCGAGCTCCCAGGAACTGTGGCCACTTTCCACAATTTTCCACAAAGCGGAACAAAAGGGAGGTGGTACGCTCATCTACAGATGATTCTTCTTCGACAGAAAGATCCTCCGCAGTCGGTGAGGAGATGTGAATCTTGGACGGCATGAACGCTAGGAGATGCCTGGAAGGCTCCGCACCAAGACGCTCCACCACTTCCATCAAGAAATTCAAGGACGTCTTGTCCGACTTCCAGGTGCATGAATTGGCTTCAAGGGCTGCCAACCCACTGGACTGCTCTAGAAGTTCACGTGCTTGCTCTTGTGTGCAGTCATCCGTGAACGCGATGCACTCGAGCCTAATTGCCATCTGGTTTGGATCCCGGACCCGGTAGGCTTCACTTGCCTTTAGTTGCCTGACACCGGCCAACACAATTTCCCAGCTAATGGCCTCTGGGCTAATGAGGTGTACCTGCAGAGTCTGCTCATCGAAGGCAGTGACAAGCTCCAATCTTGGCAAAGTCCTCTCTGCCAGGCGCGTCTCACGCGTGTTGGCATCTTTGCCACCATCTTTTGCTGGTACGCCGAAGAGCGGTGCCAGAATGTTGTAGCAAGCGAAGTTGCTCTCCTGTTCAGAGAGCCTTGTCTGTTCATGAGGCCAGGCTTATGAAGATTGCTCTGTGTTCTTCATGGACATGACATGAAGCCTTCATAAGCATGCAATACACTACTCATCAACGGCCCAGCAGCTCTAGGCAAGTCAAGCCACGCGTCTCTCCAGCCAAGATGTCTCTCTCCTCCATATTGCGGATCTCTGAGATGTCATGGCCATGGCGCTGCGCCCATGCCACCAATTCTTCAAGACAGTCTGTCCTGCCGCCACACGACTTAGGTGAACTGGGAGCTAGCCAACTAGTTTGCATCCCTTTGACTCATCACCCGACAGATGAATTACAAGCCGAAACTCTAGTCTTAGACCCCTTTAGCTTAAAGTGCCCTGTAATGTGTTTTGGGGGGGCGGGGTGCCTATTCAGGACCAGGGCAATCATTGTGAGGTCCTCTATAATATGTTTCAATTTCGTAGCCCTGAAAATATAGGAAAGATTCTCAACTCTCCCTTTTACATCAATCCTACAAAACCTCAGAACCGTGGGAGGCTGAGGGCCTTTGTTGAGGGACCCTAATTTCTATGTTTCTGATGGCCCTACTGTTAGAAGGGGGACCCTACTCTTTCAAGAGGGTCCAACATTATAAGCCACATGGCCTGCCGTCGTACACCGCACGGTGGAAGGCCGAGCATTTGTACTTTCCCACCCGGCAGAGCGGCTCTGCAAGTGCCCTCCAACGAGCTTTGGGATGCGATTCTTCCGTGTAGTGGTCCAGGAAGAGCCCTGGGAGGGCTTACAGCCTAGAACCAGAGGGTCCGCATGGGAATTCCTTACAAATACCCGTTTTCCCCATACGATGAAAACAAACAGGACCACAGCAACCACCATCCCTTCCCAACTCGAGTGTATCCCCAAGCATCTACCATCAACCTACGTGGACTTTCGCAAAACTACGAATACCTGAGAAGCTGCAGAGTGCTCATAATCTGTTTACATTGCAATGCGCGTGTTTCAGCGCAGTTGATGCATTAAGAATGTGCCGCAGACAAAACGATACAAGAACCTACTTAGAAAGAGGTGCACTAAGCATGTCCCAAGAGTCTCAATGTATCCAGATAGCCCTCCTTGATGCAGGTGTGCAGCAGGTTAGCTCCACCACGAAACCGGCTGATGAGATGCAGAGTCTCTTCTTTGTCATGCTTGCCGCACAGGAAGTAGTGCTCAAGCATCTCATCGAAAGCTGGGCTTGCCATGGCCTCCTGGATGCTGGCGGGGTCCGCAAGCTCTTCAAACAGGAGCTTATCAACCTGCTCCTCAATGACCGACAGCTGCTCACAGCAGTAATTTGTCACCACGTCTTGTCCATCACACTTGCCAAGAGGCATCAATTTTGGGTCATTCCCGCGGATTACCACATGGTACACCTTCTGGTTCTGCATGCTCTCTTCTACCTGTAGAGCCTTAAGCACATCTGCAGTGCCGACACGCCGGATGTAGTACCATGCATCTAAACGCAGGGCCCGAACGCCTTCTGTCGGCTTGGATTGCTGTGAGATGAAGCGGATACCTGTCTTCACGGTCTCGGCAACAAGCTTCTTCAGGACAGGCTGACAATCGACATGCGGATTGTTCCGCAAAAGGTCAACCGTCAGATTTGTCCAGGAGGTCTGTGCCGTGCTGGCCATGGCAGCAAATCTCTGTACCCAACCGGGAGCGCAATCTCTTCCAGCTTGGGCCTCAAGCATGCCAGGTCAACGCTGGCGCCCAAATGATTAGAACAAGATTCGTGGGCCCTTGTACCCCATACCGGGGCTATAAGAAGAGTACGGTTGTAGTTACTCAGTTGGACTCAGGCGTCTGCAGTGCACAATAGGAATCCTTCCGCCACCTACCTTCATCACACGCTTTGCGACACTCCTGGCACTGGAGCCGAGCAAGGACACAAAATCAGTGAGCGCTGGCTGACAAGTGTGACTATTCGTAAGCTCCATCACTGAACTGAGGGATATACCTTCCATAATTTGACAGGGGCCCTGAAGAAGTTTAACGGATATGTTTTGCTGCAGAGAGGCTTGAACTGCTCACTCAAGCGCACCTAAACATAAGAGCAAACTCAAGGCAGCGATTACAGTACCAACCAGCGCATATAATCGCCGTGTGCTAGAATAGGAATAGCTGCCATGGCAAGAACAGGAACAATCGCAATGACAATGATGTTAACCTATGACTTGTTCGCCGTGTGCCTTGTCGCGATTTGCAGCGTCAATCCTGAGTACTTGGAGTACGTGTCATGGGTGTGAGAGGTGTTTGTTCAGGGCTTCGGGTAGCGGATGTACAGGGATGTAGATAAGGGCCATGAGGCATACGCGTGGTCAATGTGGATGATTTGTGGAAAAAGTATTTCTTTGTACGTCTCGACCTGCTCAAGCATTCTCACGAACTTCCAAGTAGCTTTGTTGGGAGCTGGGCGGCAGCAAGAACTAACCATAAGCGTATTGCGCTGTTGCTCTTCCTTATTTTAAGGTCAGGGTACCTCCCTCAAACCAACACGAACCCCCAGAATGGCAGAATGGACTGTCTAAAGGTTACCGCCCCTTTGAAGGGGCTGTATGGTGTTCGATGTTAGTTTGGGGAGGGTTATCCCTAAACTGTAACTGCTTGTAGCTCCTGCATAGATCCGGACCCCCTACACAAATTATGAAAAAGTATATTAATATGTATATATATATATATGCCCGCAGAAATCCACCGTTTTCAATGGGTAAGCCCAGGATTTCAAACAGTCTTGGAAACATCTGCTTGAAGATTTCACCTTCTTTTTTTTTACGGGGTAAACACCTCACGAATGTAACTTAGAACCATTTGCCTGAGGACCTGTTAAGCCATCTGCTGGAGGCCCTGCGTATTCCAATCCGCATTTAGCAAGTGAAGTTAAACGCAGCCAGACCCCAGGAACCGGGGACCAACATGCCCAGGACTGTTGATTCTTGGTTCTTGGTCCCTGGGGCCTGGCTGAATTTACATCTGCATTTAACAATCTAAGTTAAATGCAGCCAGACCCCAGGAATCAAACACCCATAGCCAAAATGTTCATCTTGGTTCTTGGTTCCTAGGGTCTGACGCGTTTAACAGGAATTCTTACATGTGAGTTCAAACGCCGGGAACCCTTAGCACACGCGTCTCAAACACTCCCTAGTTGACTTTGGGACTCACCCGCTCACGCACCGACCTGCACTCACTCACCCACTCATTCACCTAAATATACCCAAGCATATCAAGAACAACTTCAATCATTAAAGTAGCTAGTTATTGAGATTATTCCATTACCTAACTACTCCTCGACTTTACATGCACGTGCCCATGTCTAGGTGCAAGTGTGCAGGCTTGAGTGAACATATTCCCTTGCATGGGTGAATGCGCAACACTGTGCAAGCATGCGTGAAGAGATGGTGCTGCATGAATGAATTCGTAACACACTGCATGCACTTATCATGCAGCTCGAGCTACGTAGATTTCGGCCTTCAATCAGATAAAGCATTGTCCGAAGATGCCTTTTTTCAAAAAGGAATTCTCCATTTCTGGGCTGTTGACTTTATCTATAAGCACTCCTGGTACTTGACGAATTCTTAGATCCTAGGCTCCTTTATTCAAGACAAAGCCCTTCGTATATTGGCTGTGAATCTAAAGGATAGTTTTGAAATTCTGGTCTCATCTTATTTCCGTCTTTACTAAATCGGTGTCAAAATCTTAAGATACAATCCAAAGTCCTGGGCTCCCTGGTTTCTCTAAAGTGTGCTTCGATCTGAATGAGGAATTCTCAAACCTTTGGCTCCTGCCTTTGTTTATGTAGAACATTTACCAAATATGCGCTGAATTTTACACGCCAAAAGATGAAAGCTTTCTTTCTCTTGTATTTTCTGGACTTGTACATTTTCGTGAAAAGAAATAACATGTGACTTAATTGGAAGCAGGGAATCCTCTCCTAATATGAGGAGGGAGCTCAAGCTCCAGTTGATTCTACTGAGTTTCTTCGCGATGAAACAGGAACTGGAGCTTTCACTTCTCTCAAGTCAATGATGTTTCTCTCGTATTAAATGAAGTCGTGCTAGCTACATGTCAGACACCTGTGACAGCGAACCTCGGTTCTCAATTGTCACAAGAGAAGGTCACTTGTCTTGATTTCCATCGCACACTACAACATAGATGCAAGGCACTGAAACCATGAACACATCTAGCATCCTCCGCAACCAAGGACAAATCTCTTTGATAAATCTTGCAAAATCCTCCCTCAAGATCCACCTTGACTATGTAGGTGTTCTGCAAATACCTCTTGACATCCGGCCTCTTGTTTTTTGCCTGTACCTCCAAATGCGGGAAGTGTTCAACTTGTTTCCAGGGGGACGCTTGTGTTCTTGTCTCTGCATATTGGGACCACCCGACAAATCCACTCCCTTCCCCCATTCCCACTAAAAGAAGGGTAAACACTAAACAATGCACATACCGCATCTCTAAACCCCTGGTATCCAAACCTCTAGCCCTGACCCTATGCCCTAAGCCCCACAAGCCCCGAACACTGGACTTTATACCGTAAGCCTCACACCCCAAACCCTCGATACCCATCAAAAGGCTACAGGCCAGGCATCTGGTCTCCAACATAGAAGTCCCGCATGGGGCTGCCCTTCTGCTGCATCTTCTCCTGCACTCCCTTACTGAAGCTTGAGCTGTGTCTGACGTACGAGGAATTAGGGGCTTCGATGCAAGTCCAGTACCAATCTTGGGTCCTTCAGTGCCTTGGTGCTGAGGGCTCATCGACCCCTGGGACTTCGAGGGACGGTTTACACTTTAGAGGACTAGGCCTTCGGGACCTCAAGGTTTCAGGAGAGCGTAGAGGTTGAGGATTATTGTGTAGGTTTTTATCAGGTCCCCGATTTCCAGCATCAGCACTGGCATCATGTAGAGCGCCAGTTCTTTGGGAAGGCTGTATTAGATGACGCTGCCATGCGGCAGGCTCCTTGAGATCAGTGACCCTTGCTACCACCAGCTGTGGGGGAGCAATCCGCTTCACTGGCTTTATCTTGACTGCTGCGGACAAGAGTTTGAGCCTTTCTCAGCAAAGAAGATGAGATCTTGGTTCCTCCGCGCGTACTTTCCCATCGGAGGCCAGCTCATGGTCAAGCTTGCATGGTGGAAGGCGCATGCGACTGTGCAACTCGTGTATCCGTGTGGCCATCCGTTTGTTGGACTCCCTCGTGCATTGGGTAAGACAACCTGAGAGTCTGTTTAGGAAGACATGCTGTAAACAAGGAGGGGAGCACCTACTGTTTCAACAGGCGGCTGACGTTTTTTGAGGCACACAGCCCAAGGCCTGAAGACACCAGCGTGTAGTTGTGATGAAAGCTCCGCTCCGCCGCGTTGCCCTACACGAAAGAGTGTTCTACACCCAGGCACACGACGAAGTTGACACCATTATCAGGATCTGGGAGGGCAATTGGAAAGCTGCTCATCAAGGACAAGGACTGCTTCCCGCAAAAATTGCCTGTCCTATGGAAGTATGCTTGCCAGGCCTTTTGTC